TCCTCTATCATTTCGAAATTTGACCTGTGCTCTCAGAATTTAAACATGGTAATCACTTTAACTAGAATTATAGCTACATAGTTCCGGTATTGAGTTAATTGAGAAGCAATGGAAATATTTCCATTGGAAATATTTAGAAATATTTTCGGTCGTTTTTTTTCCAAATTTCAAAATTTAGCGAGATTTATGACCGACCTGAATCGTTCACCAACTACTTCCATTTTTGGTCCTCGCAGCAAATTCAGTTTTTGACGAAATCTACGTATTTCAGGAGGATAATTCAGATGGAAATAAATTCGCGTTATACAAGTTCTCCTGTTTGTGTCAACTAAAACTCTTGTGTCAACTAAAATACGACGTAGGGAGATGTAATGAACCTGAAAATATTTGCAGCTCTTTAACAATAATTATTGCAAAACTAATTATAATTCTCCATTTATTACTTACACATAATTTATCACCAAAAGTATCATTTATTCCTACAAAATGAAAAGTTGAGCAAAATGAATTATTTAAGTTAATATCTAAGCTAACTCTGAAATACGCACTTCCAGCATAGATATTTCGTGCCGTTAAGACGATTATCAATTACATACAGTTATATTCTTAATTAACCTAATTTTTAAAAATATTTGAATTTTATGAATAATGAAATGTAACGACACATGGTGTAAAATATACCTGCAATTAATAAATAAACAGAAATCCATGAGGATAGCTTACTAACTTGTCATTTACTATTTACATTAGTACTGAAGCCTAAAACAAATCCAACAAAAAGAACGAAGAAATCTAATTTACTTAAAACAAAAAACACGGTTTTCGAAAAATCACTTCAGCAGGTTCGAAAAACCAAAAAGCATAGATAAGTCAGAAAGTTGTCACCCATGAAGAACTGACCTTTATAGCAAACATTGACCCCTCTACAAGCTTTTCATTGTCCGCACTGTCCATCTCTCGCGGTCTGTACCCTAAAATGTCGCAAAAGAAATTGCTATAATCATTTACAAATTCAAATTTAGGAGATAAATGATTTTATTTCGAATAGCTCAATCAAGCATCTTGTCGAAAACTTCTACTAGTAGTCTAGAGCTGCACTATAAAACAACGAGATTCAAAACAAGACAAACCATGTTAATGTTTATAAAAACAGTGATGTAACATATGAATAATTTACATAATTTACTACTAGTCTTGATAACTATTCTGACAACATTTTAATTTGATTTTCATAAAAATACAAAAAGGAACAAACCATCTAAAACAGCGAATCGTACAGTGAACATATTTCGGTCATGTTCAAAATCAACGTACATTGGAGTACGTACATTGCAAGACGATAAGCTTGCTAACACTTTGATATACTCTGCCAATTTTGTTCTATTAATCTGTTCCGGTATTTCTCGAGTGAAATGCGAACAAAATGTTCCCGGATCGAGCAAATTGCCATGGTGGATGGACTGTATATCAACTTGGAGCTCAGCTGACCTGACATAAAAATATATTTTTATAAAATACTTCTGAAACATCTTGCAATTTCGATTAATTAACAGTAGCAACAAAAAAAAAGAGTCTCCGATTGAAACTTTTAAAAGCAAACAGAAATGAGAAATTGAATCCAACACATCCTAGTGATTCAGGTTTGGTCTAGAGGAAGTTTTGTAGCTCACAACTAGCAGAGAGAAATTGCATAACTATATGATTAACATCATCGAGAACAAATTTCTGGGACTGATACTTTAACAAAAAATAGCTAAGGCTAAGATATTCTTAACGCACATTTAATAGGTTATTCAAAGCCAGAGAGTTTTCACTATGCTAAATCTACAGTACCATCAATGAAGACTATTGGAGCAATGCATAGACTACTTTACAGAATCATCTATTTCTTAGGTCCTTAGAATGCGAAACTGAAACAGTTAAATTCCATTAAAACATCTGATATTTTGCGCACAATGACGAAAATCTCTTCTCAAAGCATAAATCTATGAATCTTCTTATCAATCTCAAGTCTACCCTCAGCTACCGTTCATTTCTCTAGAAACTTCTACGATTTAAATTAAAACAATTTAAAAAGCAAACACGCAATCATCCATGAAAAAACCACGCTCTGCTGCCTGAAGTATAGGTGTATACTTTCCAGAAAATTCACTGGTTGAACTTTGAAACATCGATGCCATTTTGGGAAATGTTCGCTTCCAACAAGAGGACATTACCTATTAAGAAATCGAGCAAAAATAATGACAGCCAAAACAACAGGAAGGAAAATGAGAAATATTCAGAGATAAGTCGCTAATAAGTTCATTTAGAGATTAAGGAAACAGTTTCATTTGTGTATAAAGAAAACACGTTTTAGATTGCAGATGGAAGCTTATACATTCATGAAATAAAAAAATTCAGTCCTACCACATTAATGAAATATCATTAATGTCTTATTTCCAAGAGACACTTTCGACTAACTTTTATATATACCTAGAAATAATAATGAAAATTTACAGCATCTTTAAATATGGAAAATTAGTACGCAAAGAAAAGAAAAAAATGAGATTTGAAAGTAAGAAATTATTTGAAAAACATACTGCTTACATCCCTTTTTGAAAAGAGATCAAAAATCGAGGGAAACCAGTCAAGTATTTATTGAAAAATCAAAAACAGGGAACGAAAAATTTAAGACACCACGCCTTAGGCAATGGGAAGAACCAGAGCAAAAATTTAGGGGAAGAAAAGCATGCAGATAAAATAAATACAAAAACAGAAAACGAAAAAAAACGAATATTTTTCCTACACAATTTCTAAAATAAAAAAAGATTTACATCAACACGAAGCTCAATCCAAGGACTTCCATAATCGTGTATTTCAATTCGATGTTCAATAACATCACATCCAATCCTCAAATTTTTTTCCTCAGAAGTTCCAATTTTCTGCAATGTTGATTTTCAATATTTGTATGACAAAATTGCTTCCCTCTCACACCCAAAACCAAAAATGAGGGCAGAAGCATTTATCAAAATTACAAGTAGCTTTTTTAGCAAATTACTAAGCAATAAAATACCAAATGAAATTTGTCGTACATCATTATTCATTTCGAAATTTAAATGATCAAGTGCATCTGGTATAAGTAATCAACAGTTAACACAGTCAATACCATTAATGGATTCGATAATTCATATTTCTATGAAACCTCAGATAGCTTACAGGTATAATGGTTTTCAACTGCTCAATCAGTTCAACATTTTGGGACAAGACGATAATGCTTATATGAAGTGGTTCAGCCCATCCTTTAATTCCATTCATTTGGCCAACCTTTCCGTACATTAGCATTGCCTAACTGAAATTACTTTATAAGAACTCTTACTGTGCTCTTCTGATGACATAAATAAATCAGAGGCAAGGCAATGCAATATAATTACTTGAGAGTTTTCTGAAATGTGGCGCATTAAACTTTAACCTCCACAATGTGATTTTACAAATATTCTAAATGTTCTAGCCTTTTATTGGAGTGTTTGATACTATTTTATTTTTCTGAAGGGATTTAACAAATACTAAGAATACAACTTCAAATATCTTGCCCATCCGGATTCTTCACGTTCCTGGGAAAATACTAACGACTTGAACCCTCGACAAAATCTTTATCAAGATCAAAACATATGATCAAATCGTGAATGAACAGAATAAGCAATAGTAACAATGGGAGATGCCCAATGACAAAAAATATATGCAATAAACGGTCAAATGACCATAGCATAAGCGATACGTTATAAAATTATTCGAAGCACACAAATTTCACCATCATCCGTGGCACCAGTAAGTAGGCTACTTTCAACAGGATTCCAATTCAAACAGTTGATTTCTGAAGGAAGTTTATAGCTTCCAACACATTCTTTTAGGACTGGGCTAACTGTTGAATTATTTAGGCTGTACAATCTGAAAACAAAATAAAAAATCATTAAGCACTACTCAAAAGACCACTAACTATTGACATCGTAAACTGTCGACATTCAGTGCGATTTTACTTCAATATGTAAGTAATTTTAAAGACCCAACAACTCTGTGTAGGATCACGTAATCCAATAAAATTGAATCTTAAATAGTGATACTACTGTATGCAACCAGATATCCCAAAAGTCCTTTGCAGATAAGTGCTCTAATAATACAATTGCACGGATGGTAGAGGAGAATGAAAGAAATCGATAATAATGAAACATTCCGATTTGAAAATATGAAAGAATGTTCCTTACGACAACGGATCATCAAAAAAAAAAAAGAAAAGAAAAGACGGGAAGATTCAACATGTATACTAATTAAACTTTACAGAATTCGCAAACCTTATTTCGTTATCTCCTCCACCGACAGCAATCATACCATGTACTTTATTCCATGAAACTGTGTACAGAGGCCATTTTGTTTTCACACATACACTCGTTACCTTATTCCACTTACTTTTCGATGCCGATAAATTCATTTCCTGCCTCATCCAAATCTAAAAATATCAAGATAAGACGATTAACCCGTGAACCAAATTTCAGAAATTGCAAACCTTTCCTATCATCAAACGATAAAAATAGCTAACTACAAAGCTAATGAAAGTACTTTCCCTCAGCTGTTAAACCAATCCGTTCATTCCATCCATATTTTAACTCATATTCTAAGTCCGCAGTTCAGATAGCATAAAATTAATTCGTCTACATATGACGACCCCATTTGTAATCATCAGAATCCTTGATTTGAAATGTCTAGCAAGTCAATAAAAACTAGTCACAGCTTGAATATTATGTACATAAACTTTCCGTGAGAATAAAGATAAAGCAAACCCTTTGTAGGAATGAAAACAAAACTTCATAAATTAATAAAGCCATAACACACTTGACTTAACAATGAAAAAAATCGATCACAATCCAGAATGTGGCATATTCTGGATTAAGTAAAAATAATCTCTGCAGAAAACTTACATTGATATTAAAATCAGCTCCTACAGTTGCGAGAAAGTTACCATCATCTGAGAAATCAGCTGACCAAACGGTTGATTCATGTGCATTGTCGATTTTTTCTTGTGTTATCCAATCCTCACCATCAAAACGGTAAAATCGGATGGAGCAATCATAGCTGCATGATACCAGCAACTAAATTGCATTGTACTATCATGGTGTTAATCAATGAACAAAAATGGTTTTCCAGACCCTAAAAATTTAAGAGAAGGAAACTCCAAATAAAAACTCAAAAGAGTCGAAATACAAATATAAAAACTCGAAATACGGTTTGTCATCAAGTAATGACAGAAACCTTATGAATACGCCGATTATAAGGGACACGAAACCACTGCTTATAATTTCTCATAGACTTTCCACTAGGAGGAAAAAAATTTCTAAATGCATTAGCAAATTACCTCATCAACTGGATGCCATACCACAAATTTGACGTCTTGCGTGTGAGACTGTAAAATTGATGCAATCTCAAAATCTTCACTTTCGTCTACTGAAATTTAAGAAAAAAAACTCAAAAGTGCACAAATAATGTGAAGATTTTCTTCTTTTTTTACTTCCATTTTTAGATTTAAATGCATCATTTACTTACACTGCCAGAACCAAACTGATTTATCACGACTGCAAGTTGCCAAATATTCACCGGATGGTGAAAACGCACAACATTTCACTTCATTCTCATGTCCTTCCAAACGATTTATTTCTTCGTAATCATTACTGAAAACGAAAAATTTGACGTTAGCTATACGGAAGTTTAGATATTATAGCGTTACGGTTGCAAGAATTATTTTTACAGAAAATGTCAGGCTCGCTTCAGCAACTTTTTTTTGGAGCTTTAGTTGCTAGAAATTAACTTCCCAACAAAGAGTGGGAATAATGTTGTTCATCATACGAACAACACCTTTGCTAGATTCCAGAGCATTTGATATCATTCCCAACAAAAAGACTACACACCACATGTTGTAATCAGATATTCCCTGCTATCACAACACTCGGAGAAACTTGAACAAATTTTGAGATTTGAATGATTTTTGTCCTAAAACGGTACTTACTTGTATAATTGATGTACAACGATAGCTGCATCAAAACCAGCCGAAGCCAAGAATTTATCATTTGGTGAAAATGCAACGTGTCGAATAGCTCTATTATGAGATCCGCTTATTGTTCCAGAATACACCAAATACGGCGCATCTGAATTTTTCTTTCAGAATTTATTTTCTATAAAGGATTTGCACTAAGAAGGTTAATGGAATCAACACTGTGACTATTTGCTATTATTGTCATATCTGGATAGATGAAAATTTAATCTTTTCTCTTTTCATGAAAAGTGAAGCAATGTATATTATAGTTATCGATGGGTGGATGGCGTATAAAAAATGCTAAAATTTTGGAAACTCCCTATTCCCTAATTTGAAAATATATATTGATGTCCTTTTTATGAACACTAATCAAAATAATAAATTTTTAAATCCTCTCACCCTCATTTCAGATGATTTAAAAATGATCGTACAAAACTATCTTGAAACTTTCTCAAATTTTGAAAATTTTATTAGTCTAAGTAATATATGTAAGCAAAATATGATACAGTGGCATTTTGAACAAACAATGATCAACAAGTAATGGAATTTTGTTCTAAGACTAAATTATGATACTAAAACCTTCCTCAAATGTCCCTCAACCCTTGTAACACGAAATCTCTCAGCAAATAACTCACAATTCAGTGCAAAACGAAGGTAGCGTGTTACATTAGAATTCAATGCAAAAGGAAAGAACTGTGTTACACTGGAAAAATTTGAAAATAACATGAGAGCAAAGATTACCATCGATGCGTTTCCATAGCTTGATTGTTTTATCATCACCACAGCTTGCAAGTGTCGTACCAGCATGATTCCACTGTACACACCATACTCGACATGCCACATCATAAGAATGCCTCAGTTTGTTTACATCGCCGATCATGACATGTGATACTTTTGGGAAGAAATAGAAATTAACATGCAATCCTCGTGCTTTTCATGACCATTCGTTACTTGTTGTGGACATGTTAAAGCCACTCATATTGAAAATCAACAAACTTAATATAACCATACCTACCCATAAGCATAAGAAATGTTAGGTAAGAGGGCATATCAGAATAGTTTAGCATTCTAGCAGTAAGGATTAACAATAAAAACCAACATTAAAATTTAAAACAAATTCCAGGAGATGGTTAATCCAACATGGGCGGAGTGTACCTACGGAGTATAACTCTATATGACAAACGCAACTTCGCAAACAGATGAATCTTATTCGCCAATCAATTCAGTCTCACATTAAATGTACAAGAACAGCGATGGTCTTGACGACCCACTCGCTCATTTTAAGCTTATGGTACCATGGAAAACAAACATAGATTATATATGGAACCATTAGTTAATGTGCTAATAAGGAAACGTTTCTAGGAAAAGTTGAAAATATTAATTGAAAATACAAAAATATTCATTGAAAATACATCCACTAATTCCGATGAAAGAATGGGCAGTTGACGGTTAAAGGACATACTTAATTTCAGATAATCATATGGTATTTCGATGTAATCACAATACGCAAAGCAAATCATATAAAAGAATATAGGTAAGGCGTATAAAGGCGCATAAACAAGACGTATAAACAGTTTTGAAATGGAAAATATAGTACAGAAAAGCAATAGTAAATGCTCTTCATCTTAAAAAAAGTAAAATTGCCTGTTTGAATGCAAAGACTATGCCAAATTTCAAGTCTAACCCAAAATGCTAGTTATAATCAAGACTGCGGGGCTAAACAACATTCGACTGCCATATTACTCAGATGAAATGAAAAGCTTCCAAATAATTGCTTAACACAACTGCTTGACCAACATATATTCGAAGTATAATAAATATACAGCATTCACTGGTTGTTCTAATGAAATACTTTTGCAAATACTGCAATTTTCAACCGGCAGGATGCATTTTAACAACAAAGATTTTTTAAATATTCTACCATTATTCTGCGACTTTCATGATTAATCTTCCAGCCCAATCACCAGTACAAAACAAAAGAGAAAAAAAAGAAGGTACTTCTCTAAATCAAAACTCCATGCAGTATGTTAACCATTGCATCAACAGTCAAAATATTCCCTCTTATGGCATAATATACACCTCAAGCCAAAATTTTTGTAATGCTTCTGAACAAAAGTACATATAACAAAGAGATCGAAAACTGAATAACACAGGAACAATAATTTCCGCAATTAGAAATTATTTACAAAATAATGAGAAAAAAAAAAAACTTCGGCAGAAATTATAGGTGATTCGTTTATAACAGCAGAAAATCAATAAACTGAATCTCGAAAAAATCTCATAATTACACCACCTCTAGTAAAACTCTTAAAGAACCTTGTGCATCCACACAGTGACCATCAGCATCAAGTGTAGCCAAGCAAAGTTTACCTACACCACTGATAAACGGGTATGATGAGTTACAGACATTTGTCGAACTTCGACTACCGCTACCATTTCCTTTTGTTTGCTCATCTGTATGAGATGAATTTGGCGAACTCGGACAGCGGCTACTAACAGCTTCCAAACCGTTGATATGATTTTGTTGGATATTATGTCCACACACCTTCAAAAAAATTAATGAAAGTCAAATCCAAAAGCAAAAATGCTTCATAGGCTTGAATCAAATCAAAATTAGAGACTACGTGCACTGATTTTAGTGAAAGAATACAGCAAAATGGTTTGACTGGATCACGAATTTAGGACATCATATGGGATAGGTAATAAATTCTACATTTTCAAATAATTCAAAAGTACGAAAGCTTGAAATGCAACTACACCATACAAAAAACCTCATTATTTGCATGTTTCATTTCTACCTTATAAGATTATGTCCGAATTTATAGCCTAAAAAATAGTATCACACAAATATAATGCCCTATATGCAACTAATGCCGAACTTACACAACATCCACATTATAATGTAGTATTCAAGAAAGACACTCTAATAGCTTTTTGCAAAGGAAACTTTCATTTATTACACATTTGTCTAGACGAAAACAAATTTTGCAAATTTAACTTACTGAAATGTCAGTTACACTTGCGTTTTTATCATCTGAACTGCTATTATCCGACAAAGTTTTCTCGAAATCCGGCGATTCGCCTTGTACTACTTCCGTCTTTCGACAATCACTAGACTTTGAGTTTGGTATTACACTATCACCGTTTCGTTCCAGTAATGTGGATAAAGAATTTATAAGCGCTTCAATCATGATGGCCTGTTTGCTGAATACCTAGAACAGTCAAAAACATCTCATGAATATGAAAAAACTAGTAGAACTAGTAGCACTTCTACCATGTTTTAAGGGGGAAATATTTTGACAAAGACCAACCAACTCAGATATCACGGGAGAAATAGCCTATAGACTAATTCTTAAAAATCAATTAAACAGAGAAACGAGGGAGAAGTAGAGAGAAGGAAGAAGTTGAAAAAATTAAAGCATTTAGTATTATACAAATGCTATACCTGAAGTACTTTTATTTTTTCCGAAAATTTTAGCATTTCAGTTTCAGAATTTAGATTATGATCAGTTGATAATGAAGTATCCGGAAAAGTCATAAGAAAACATGGGCATTCAGTTAAAACAGCTGCTGATATGGCAACTTCGAAATGACTGAAAGTTGATTGAAAGTTAGTGAAATTCCTCTACAGCACTATATGCAATATATGTAATACACAATATAAAAGAGATCTGGGAATTAATTTCCATAATCATAGCATTAACATGACGATTGTAATGAGCAGAAATGAAACGTATACAAGAATATCCTAAGGAAAAAATTGCAATACAGTTGGGGTTAAATTTTATTCATGTAGTAACAAAGAACTTAATCTCAAAACTGAGCAGTGAGAAGAAACTACAAAAATCCTACTTTAAAATGGGAGGTTTTTGAAAAATTCTGCCGCTGTCATAGGTAAATGAATACATGGTGCTGCTAATATTCGAAAGTAATCACAAGAATCTAAAAAGACTAACTCATCGACATAGCGACAATCACAGTCATAAAGTCGCTGTACAAGCAGAACTTCCTGTTTCGCTTCATCAATCAATGTAACGTATCCACAACTGATTCCAATAAGAACCTGAAATGAAACAATGCATAATTCGATGAATAATTTCAAAATGAAGTAAAATCTCCGCATAATTTTAGAAATATCACGTTGCATCATAGCCATGTTTAGTCCTTACTAACGTTTAATCCGGTCAATTTTGAAATATAACAAGCGGAGCGGAAACTTCAAATTTAAAGTCAAAACCCTCGAAAACTAAAAATGAAACTAATGTGCGTCAAACATAAACGACACCGGAATATCTGGTAACGTCACCGAAAGTATCAATCTTTTGATTTCTTTCAGCGGTCTCCCTGATGGTCGTTCAACGTATCCACGGAAAAAGGCAGCTCTGAAATACATTATATTACAAAAATTTTATCGGAAATTTCACTTAATGAATGTGAATCAACTTTATCTATGTTATTCCGTTTTTCACTTACCCACTCGATGTCTTACCAATCACTGTGAGCACTGCTCTACCATTGGCATATGCACAAAAAAAGAAAGGTAAGAATTGGTAACTCACATCGTTCCGTATCAAACATTAATTACACCTATGCTCATATCCGTGTAAAAGAATAATTATTTAAATAAGAATCAATTTTGGAAAATCCTTAGCAAGCATTGAAAATAAAAATAGAGCAATGCTTGCCCATAAAAAGGTGTATTGCGGACAATATTGAGATATGCTTTTCGGCAGCTATGCTTGCTTTCAAAATTCAGTCTTATATTACGATATTCTTGAAGAATTCGTGCTTCCAAACCCTTGCAACCGATAACCGGAATACCAAATAAATAAAATGTCTTGACATTATGTCGATATTTCAGCGGAAAAAACGCCTCTACTTCCTCTCTGTAAAATCATTCCCCTTTTAAATAAATTGATTAATAAACAAATACAAAAATTTATGTTCCGAACCAGAATCGGAAACAAGGGTATACATTACCATCAACTTAAAATTCCATTAAATGATCGTATTCCTCCTAAATTTCGATATTATAATCGATGAAGAATCACAAACCCAGACATATCCAGTGTGTCCAAGTTATCATTCGGTTCTAAATCGATGGCCATCTGTAAGGCTGCCAATTTTATGTTTAAATCGATGTCACATATATATCGACCATTTAAAACTTCCTGCTTTGCATTTCTATACAGTATTTCCGTTAATATTTCAATCGAATATTCTTCTTCCAACTGAAAAGTTTATACATTAATTTAACACATCCACCCAGCTTCAATTCGAGCAATAAATTAATCTTATATTTCTCTCCCGTTCTATTTATCTCTAATGGCTTCTTAGTTCATTTCCTTTGCAGTTCCTGACGCATTCACTTTAGAAGGGGCTTTCCTCTGTTAATACTTACCGATACAACCTAAAAACGTTAAAGCTAAGTTTTACGCACTTCACGCTCTCGTTCAACAGAAAGTTGAACATTTCGTTTCAACACAAGAAGTGGTTCATCAGCGGCTGATTCACTACTTTCCGCAAATGTAAATCTTTGAACAAATTGTGCCCAGTTTTTCCGTATCTCATATGGATTATGATGTGGCTTCAGTTGCACTTCTGCAAAACTGAATTTTATTTTGAAATCTCAAAAAAAAGAAAAAAAATGCAACAGAAAAAGAAAATGTAACTGTGATTTAACAAACAAGTTTTAGTGTACCTAACAAGTCTGATACCATCCAGAGAGCGCATACTTGCTTAAAAACTTCAGCAATAACACCCAGATGATCGGCAAGTAACAACAGCAAGCTGGATGCTGTTGCCAATTTACCACCGACGAGGGAAAATTTCAGACCTGCAATAAAAAAAAAGGAAGAACTCATAAACTGGTACTTAATTCAGACAGACCGAACGGAAAGATGGGAGGGAGTGGCTACAAGAAAGCACGACGTCCATATATGGAAAAAATGAATAGTAGGCACTAATCGCAGGAACTGAGCTGAAATTACTAAATACTCGTAGGAAGTATAAAACTTCATGGTAGGTGCATTGATGCTTTGTGAAAAAAGGAAGCTAACAAGTTAGAGATTTTATAAATTTATAACAAAAAGAACACAAAATAAGCATGTGAACATTAAATATCAAGTTTTATAGCAAACGGTAATTAGAGGAATGGCGATTCAACCTGGGAGAGGAATATGATTGAAAAAAGTTGTACGACGTATCAATGAGATGTAGGAAATACAACGCATTCAAATTAAAATTAATAGATTTTTGCATACTATGATAAATTACTGAGATGATACAGCTAGTGCTTTTTGAAATAACATAAGTGGGAATTTTCCCCACATGAATATCGGCTAACAAAAAAATGCATAACAATGCGACTAGTTCATATTCATATTCCAACTTAAAAATTCGACCATACTTTCTGCTGATTAACTAGACCAAATGAAATTTTTTTTTCTTTTCCTCTGCAAAACTATTGAAAAAGGAGCATGTAGTGTAGAAAATTAAAAAAAGTAAGAAACCAACCTTTTTCATCAGCCCAATAAATCGTAATATCCAATGAATCGTCTAATATCGAACTGATAGGTGTCGATTGTTGCGAACAATTGCGTAGGTTCATATCAAGCAAATGACTTAAATTGAAAAATTTGAGCTCTCAAAAAGCAATTCAATTTTTTATCACTATCCATCTAGATACGCTCATATTCTTCATACTCACCTAGTTTTTCTCCCAACTTCGTATCCTAAAAATTTTTAATAGGTATAAGTATTTGGAATGTAATATTAAGATAGCAATAAAAATATCTCAAATTTTATATATGGATGCAATATATAGTGAAAAATAGATAAAATTAATTTCAAGTTAGAGTGACTTTTTGAACTGTTTTTTTAAGATCTTTAGGGAATAGTGTCTACTAACAATATTTAGAAATCGGTTTTTATGCGTCGTACCTCAATGTGTAACCGACTGGTGTACAAATTAACGCTTGTGCTTTTTCTGCTAACTTCAGCTCTGACACGTTGGTTGATGCTTCACCCTGGATACAGATATCTACTTGAAGAATACAACCTCTTCAATAAATTAGAACACAGAATTATAAAACGCAAAGGAGCTGGCCTACATACGTTCCACTTTCCTAACATTTTTCTGAATACCCAACCCATCGTTACAGTCTGGGACATATTCTGCAGCGAACTGAAATGTGAAATTAAGCTTAGCATTTTAAAGTACATCAAACGACAGTTCACATCGTTCCCAGCAAAAAATCGCGGAAAAAAAATTAGCTGAGACAGGAAGATAGGTATCATAAAACATAGGTATCTTTCGAAATTACAAAAATGATCGAAAAAAATGCAATCTTTAAAACCACCGATCAAACAGCATAAGAGCTTAGATGAAAATAGTTCGAATTTTCCCTTCTAATTGTGGTTAATGAAGATCTGCACGCAAATATTTTAAAATTCAGTATTCTACAAGTGATACCTGTTCGACATCTTGCAACGTAACTTGCTTTCTTTCTGATGAAGAGCTATTACTGTTTGATGACTTCTGAAACATTATGAAGAATAAACATATTGCAATAGAAAAATTTGTAGAACTTCCTTTAGATTGAATATTTTAGAATGGAACAAATCTTTTGAAGCCATTATTTACACCAAAAATGCTCAGCAGCCACCAAAAAGTCATATATATATATATATATATATATATATTCAGCAAACAAAAAATTAAAGTAATATACCAACATTAAAGTGATTTTTGGCCTTGAGTTAATTACGAGAGTCTTGAAAACTTTTCTCAGATTTTGGTCCTTAACTTGGCTAAGTATATATATATGTATATATATGCACATATATATATAATATACATATGTTTGAGATAATAAACTGCAAGACCACTGAACAATAAGAATGGAGGGAGATGATTTAAACGAAGTGATAAGCAAATATGTCGGTAGGAAAAAAGCGACTTGACGAAACGAATAATTTCAAAAAAAAATATACCGGTACAGAATGCTTTATACGACGCAAATTAATATGAGATGATTCACCAAGATTTGATTTTCTTTGTTTTGCACTTTTTTTCTCGCCTTTTAAACCAATCATCTTTTTAATAAATCCCTGTTAGCTGAAAGTAAATACCATTGCATTAAGTGGAATACGATGTATGACGCACGTTAATTAACCGATTTTTTATAGCCATTGCACTGCATTCATCCATAGTAAAAACACTGAGATAACTAAACTGAGTCAAGTCTAATCATAAAAACAGGGAATTTTAACCATATTGATGACTTAAACGAGGAGATTTGTAGAATACAAGCAAAAAAAAAGTAAGTGCAAGAAGAAAAATGCGTGGCTAAAAGTTAAAGATAATAACAATGATGGTAGATGAAAAAATGCTTCAAATCGAACTATCCTAATGATTTTTCACCAAGATATATCGAGTGTTGGGAAGTAAAAAGATAAGATAATACGAAGTGAAATCAAGATAGTGTAACTGAAGCACAATAACCTAAGTGCTGCATTATATATGCTATAAATTTATGTTCATTAGCGTTAATATCAGCAGATAATTTTCAACAACCACCAAAAATATTTCATCACTTATATGAAACATCAGCATAACTACCCAAAATAGACGAGCCTTCCGAAATATGAAATAACCAAGGCTTTATTTTCTTGTTTTTCTCTCTGCTCCACTACACCATTAAACTTGAACAACCAAAGTTTCTAACTAACCAATTACAGATAAATATGAAATTATTTACAGGACTATCAAATTGACCTACAGGTAGCTTAAATTGCTTCTTCCCGTTCAAGAAATTGGGAAATTGGATAAACATTTTCCAGTACATGAAAATAATATGTTGTCAAAAACTGTATGAAATATAGGCGAAAAATATAGACAGCATATTTAAGTATGATTAACATTACTCGAAAAGTGTTATTGCGCACCAAGAAATGGTTGATGACGGGAGATACGTCAAAATAGCAGGCAAAAATAAGCGGGTACAACCCGTATACAGTGTATCATGTATTCAACACAAGATATTTTTAGGTTACAAATCTATTACGCTACAGATAATCTAACCCACTGTTTACAGCCAAGCAATATATCGTTGCGTCTATAAGACTTATAGGACTTAGAACTCCTGAAACTTTGCCCTACATGCTTCGATAATTCGATGAACTGACCAGATTGATTTCTGCATAAAAATGTATTACATTTCTGTAGAACATACCCATATGCAAACGACAGTGAAGGAAGAACTATGAACAACTACTGATCCCTGACTGTACTGCAGCCAAACTGTATGACTCATTATCCAAGCATGAATTCATCATTTAATTTCAATTTCTAGTGCTGATTTATAAATTGTACCAATTCCTACAGAAGCGCAGTTTACAATCATGATATTGGAACAAATACTTACTGTAGTGCACTTCAATTAAAACAGTCAGTAACCTAAAAACCTGAAAACTATCTACCTTGCTTAACATTTACAAATAGTTTTGTAAAACACCTCCATGAAGCCCTCATCATTCGCTGTTTTGAAAGTACAAAAATCTTGTAGCCTAAAAATCGGAAACAAAGCACATTCGACCACATTCGTAGACACAAAACCACATTCGTAAAGTACAATTCATCTTTGCTGGTGATGACATTCCAAAACTGAACAACAAAAATTTAGTATTGATTACTGAAGAACTCACTTGACATTATGATGGCAGCAGGCAACAAAATGTAACCCTTTACAACTCGTTTTGCTCTCGACATTGTTATTAAAACTTGTTCCCAACATTCCATACAACTGATCGAACAAATAAATAGTGATAAATCAAACGAAATGAGAAGTCTTTCAGTGGAGTAAAATATGAGTTTTGCGAAGCGAAATACCAATTTCACATTTCACTACCAATTTGTGCTGAATCATACTGAAATTTCTAAAATCCCTTTTTGCGTGACAACAAACCTCATAAAATTTTCTTACTGTAATTATCTTATCGAAGTTTCTCGCTTGACCGACAGTAAAATATCGTAAAAACCATCATGAAAAATCTGTTGTATGATTTAAAAATCATTTCGTACATTACATTTTCATTAGATATTCAATCAAGGGAAATCAAATGCTTCAGATAGCAGTGATTATTAAGTTCTTTTAAATAGTGGAAAATTTTTTAAATAAGTGGAAATGCCCACAAATATACAGTTTTTCAAACGTTACAAACTTTGTTTTCCATTGTACAAATCGAATGTGTTGACCGAAGCTTAATGCATAAATCTCAATATGTTGTGGCGTAAGCTTCTCTGGCACTAGATGCATGATTTTTCCAGACACTTAATTCGTGGTTAAATGCCAACGATTGGCATTTAATATGTGAAAAACATCTACTATGTGATTAATATGTAATACGCACATCTTTTAGTAATTTGATGCATCGCAGTAAATAAATGCCCATTCAGGGAACAGGAAAATCTTTAAAAGGAAAAGTGCTTAGCAGAACGGAGTAACAACGAACAGGTTCACAGTCCTGATAGCCCGAGATTTTTTACGAGGAACTTTGTGTGCATATTGATATTCTTCATGTGACATCAAACCATAAAAATTAGCTATATGTTAACAAACTTTACGACCAAAAAGTTTCAACCAAAGAAGGGAAGTAAGAAAAACTCGAAAAAATTCAAAATACAAACACTACTTTTAAGGGACTAACGAAAAAAAGGTCATCAGTGATTTTTAAATCATCAACAGCTAGCATTCCTGACATTAGACGTAGATGTAGTCATCAGTTACTTTAATCATACCTGAACTGATATTAACTTAGTTTGGTGGAATAGCACTATCACGATCTAAACAAACATTTCTGCAGTGCTACGGCTCAACATTCTGACCTTCTACATAGCTCTTAACTAGTGTAGCTCAACTCATTCCAAGAATGAAAAAGATGACGACATTGTCGCCTATCATTACTACTTACCATTACCAGTTAAAACTGATTTTTACATTATGTAAAAGACGAAAATTAAGAGTATTTTAAAACGGCTTTTTAGCTGTAGCACAGCGTTTGGGTCTTGCAGCAGTTTTCCGACATTTGTACCAATTGCTGAAGTTTTTGCATAATTTACACGTAGGTAGGAGTATAAAGGAAGTGTTCTATTACATAAGGTTGACATTTGGCTAACGCATCGACAAGGTGGATACGTCGACAAGGTGTTTTCTCCAAAGCTAAAAGATTTCAAAGCTGAGAAGTAATTCGAATTAGTTCGCTCGAGTTTAACAGGTAAGAAAGCGTGAAATGGACGAACCTTACCTCCGGAAGCCACGCATAGTCTATCGAACTGGTGTCCCCAACCCATTGACGCTCGATCAATACAGCGCTGTTCTCGGTAAGTCCACGTTTTACCCATCGGTAAAGTCCACGTTTTACCTTCGTCCAAGCTCGAATGAATTGGTTTGCGCCGTGCCGGAACGAATCTCTCTCTGGTTGATGCCGTTTTTTACCCAAGGAAGGACAGTGATGATTACTGTGAGCGATGACCAATATAAAAAAAAAGGGAATACATATAATATTAATGATATCTCATAAGTTAATCCGAATCATTTGAATCAGGTCATCATATCCAAAATGTTTCCTAATGAAGTGACCATATTCGAGGGTTTCTAATTTGGCAAATTACCGAGTTTTTTGATGACCAGACATAAAAGAAGCAATTTTCAAAAGAAATTCAAATGCTTAGTTGTTAAAGCAGTTCGCTTATTTGGTGTAATAAGGTACACAATGAAGCGACATGATAGAAATGACAACACAGAGGTATTTACTAAAATAAGCGTACAATTCGAGCTGTCAAACTGGAACGCTCGATTTGCCTATCTCCTATGTTCAGCAGCTTTTTGAAATCGAAATTTAAATTCGTTTTCAATGGCCTTAACTTGCAGGCTTAGCCTTATTGACTTAACCTTGTTACATTTTCTGAGGAAGACATTCTTTTAAGGAAGTCAGAAGCAATCTCTTTCATTAATTCGGTGGAATTGAATGACTATTCTGTTAATAATAAGATTATAGTCTTCTTTACCATTACAAGTGTTAATTTATGCAAACTAACTGGGAAATATTTGGCTGATTCCGATAAATCATACTGAAATTCCGGGAATGTAAATTCGATTAGAGATGATTTTCTCTCCGGAATTATTGTTGGTCCTTTCGGTGGAGCGATCGGATCTTTTCAATGTTCAGTTGTATTTGGCATAATGTATTTGCGTTTCTTTTTTCGTTTCTAAGAATTGCAGCACACCATGAAATTAAATTATTCCATGAGTAATGCTTTGTCCTTTCATCTCTTTACATAGTTGTCTTCTCGCGTTGCAGATAAAGTTGAAAAAAATCGAAATTTGGTATGTACCAATGGACCAATGTATCGACCAGACGGTGGTACCATTGTGGTATATGACTGTACTCTTTATCCGCGTGGTACCCTGAACGATGACCAGGTACGGCGCACATTCCGCGTTGATGGTTATCGATGGGGGAATTCCAAGGGTGTTCATAATTTGAGCAATGGATTGCAAAAACGATACAATTTACTTTATTGCAAAAATGACCCACATGGCGATGATAGGTTTATGTAAGTGTGACTCTTATGTTTTCTGATTTATCACCGTCAAGTCATAGCTTAACCAGAAGTGGATTAACTGGTGATTGGCGATCAGTTTTATTCCCGGAAGACTTCATTTTATAGTAATTTCATCCGGTAAAGAATTTGAAATAATTGGGCTTAATGATGGTTGGTGATTTATTAGTATGGTGATTTTTAATGGTAGAGTTCCACTTATCTTTTTAAACTTCAGCCCAACTTGGGTAGGCTGACTGTTCATTTGTCACCGGTTAAATTTTTTTTCTGCACCTTTTTGACCTTTTTCTCTACACACATGAGTCTGTTTCATCTTAATAAGTAGTGAATAAAATATATTTTATCAGTATTTGAACTCGGCCTGCTTGAAGATGGATTTGATTTGTCGATTGTGGATATAACTGTCTTCAAATAAACTTCAAATTAAACTAAACGTAGCGGTTGAATTTTTTTTTTTTTTTTAAATCGACTAGTCCATTTAGTTGAGCACTTAGGAAAAAAAGGAACTTTAAGTTAACCGAAACTTGCAGACGTTGCGAATATTCGAGAGAACCATGTGGTTTGGTGCTTTTTCATTACATTGGCGATCATGTTGTAGCAGCCCAGGTGTCCGATAATGCACCGCACGGAAATGCCAAACGAACCAATCAGCCATTTCTCCGTACATTACCAATTATATTACAAGAAGTTAAAGAACAGAGTATCATGAACAATAATGCGGTTGAGGTAAATTTAAAACTTGTTGCGATGACATCATCCATTGAATACATTATCTGCCGTATTCCCTACTCCCAGTATAATAGTACATATCAAAATTCGTTATTGCATTATCTTCTAATATCTCGTCGTTTGGACTGTGAAATCTTTTGGAAACAAATAAGCAGTCATTATTTCCTTCCTCCTTTTGCTGTATATTATTTATCATGCAAGATAACGGGGAGATCAGAGACAATTATAATTCATAGTTTAATAGGTTCGAGTAATGCAAGGAAAGCAGCTCATTTAAATTTTAATTATGTCTATTCTTCCTCTTGATCTGTGCTATTATAACGATACCTGAGCTGGTTTTGTATTAATTAATGTTTAATACTATTATGTTTAGTGTCGTTAATGGCCTGAAATGCAGTTTAGTACCCGAAATCTGAAATGTCTTTGTCAAAAAACCCATATAAAAGTTAAATTTGCATCAGGGTTCTCTCATAGTTAAAACCAAACTTTCAACTTCCAACTTTTTTCCATGTTCTGAAATGTTCCTACTGTTAGATATACGACCGACTGACGGAGCAAAGTATTTATGACCAATGCGCGACCAGCTCGCGAGTTACGCCACGCAGATTACGTAACAAGGAACAAGTAAGGAACGTAATGAAATCATTCCGACAGAAGCTGGCCCGGAATAGTTTGGTTAGTAAACATTTCGGATTCATTACTTAGATTTATTTGAAATTTAAATTTTTTTCATTTAGCACTAACTGCTTCTATTTTGTACAAATCTTAAGCGTTTTGCATCATCGATGAGTTGTTCTTGTTACATTTGGAAGAGAGATATGTGCTCGAGAAAGTATGAGGATTTACCGCTGAAATAAAGTTTATGTTGCACTGATTTTATCCTTGCGTACACTTGCTGTTTACCACCATTTTACGATTTTGACATCACCTGTACATTCTTAGCTCAAACGCATTTCATCTGTTCTGTTTACTGGTGGCACGATTTTGATTGGTTTCTATTTGTATCTGATGTGTTCGATAGTCATCTTATCTCTCTTTAATTCTTTTTGCACGCAGTTTTTTGAATTGTTTATATTTTTTCAAAGCAGATATCATATACTGCGCATGCATTACATTTGCACCATATATTTTTATATGAATCTGTTGATTACTTCACATTTTTATACAAAAAATACTGTTTACCAAGAAATGCAAAACTTTGTTGGAGGTAATTAGTACACATTGGTTACCCATTGCTTTTGAGTGAAGACTGACATTATTCCTAATTTTTTCATGATTTCTACATTCAATAAAATGAAGTGATGTTCTATGGGATTGATTTCATCTTACAGTACATTCATCCACGGCCAACATCCGTGTATGTTACGGAACAGGAAGCAACAGAGCTTGGGAGACGTGTTTTGCGCAGATCGAATTCAGAATTAGACAGAAATCAAGTGGAGGCTATTGAAGGCAGTGTTTTTGAAGAACACGAAATGCCGGACGGTCAACCGCCTGTCATATTGAAAAAAGCTCGAATTGAAGACGATTCGGAGTCAAGCTATGCACCGATTGATGTAACAACGGTTGATGTAAGTTAACGTTTTTAAAATCTTAGGTTTTAATAAGTTATATTTAGTGTCCATCAATGAAAACTAGGCTCGGTACTACTGAGAAGGGATTATAATGGTAAAGCGGATAATAATAATGGTTGAACAGATGGTTGGACATAAAAACGACATATTCTGGGCGGGCGAACCTAAGAGAGTTCTATTCTTTATCAGTAGTTTCGGACGGTCTTTCTAACTTGATTTGAGTAAAGTGAATAATAATAGAGTGAGGTGTCCATTTCGGAATATTTTGTTGCTTAATTATTAGTTAGTCCTTTTTCAAGTTCCAGACCCAAACCATAAAAACGCGAGCGCCTTATGGACCGGATCATTCGTTCGTTCGGCAAGGCGGTAAATTTCATCTTTTGATTGGTATAACTGGATCAGTTGCGTCAATCAAACTTCCCGAGCTTATCACGGAACTTCATAAGAATAGTCCTAAAGAGAAATTGGTATGCTCTGTGTAATAATTCATGTGAGAACCTTTGAATTTACAAAAGTAATGAAAGTACTGAAACTGTGTAGATCAGTCTTATTACCGGTGTATGTAAATTTATTAAGGTCATTCGAATAGTTGCAACCGATGCCGCTCGAACATTTATTGATGAGTCAGCATTTGATGTTCCCATTTATAATGAGTTGGATGAATGGAATATGTGGAAGAAGCGTGGCGATCCAATTCTACATATCGGTCAGTTCTTATGGGAATTGATTTGAGATATAAGAAGCATCGTGAATGATTAATGGTACGACTACGTAGCCTATACGAGTGCGGATCAAAACTCATGTTGCTGATCTGCTAAACTACTGGAGATTTTTCGTTTTCCGGTTAAATCACCACTGTCCTTGACTATGTAGTGTCGATTTACCAACAAACGCAGTACTTTTTGATCTCGTTTCAGCATTCTTTCTTTCATTTTCGTCGTCTGTTATACATTTTTATTATACATGAAGAGTCTTTTTCTCTTTTAATAAATCAACTTCGTATTTGTTTGAAAACTTTAGGTGAATTATTTTTTCGAACCATTAAAGTCATCGAAATTCGTATTTTCAGAACTAAGGGAATGGTCGGATGCGATGCTGATTGCACCATTAGATGCAAATTCGTTGGCTAAAATGGCGAATGGCATATGCGATAATGTCTTGCTCTCCATTGTACGAGCATGGGATCCACGAAAACCCTTGTACTATGCACCAGCGATGAATGTTGCCATGTGGGATAATCCACTAACGTATCAGCATCGTAAAGTTTTGAAGGATTTGTTACGATATAAGGTTGATATGTTTATTAATGATTTCGCCATTTCGTATCAAAATTATTTCGAACTATTAGTCTAATATGGTAGACTTTCATGGAAATATTTGGAGAAAAAGTTACTGTAATATCCTTTGCTTCTTAGCTTCACTGAGAAGTGTATAGTGATTGAAGTCCAAGAAAGACATCTAGAAAAAAGTCTAGGTGGTTGATATACCGCTGGTCTGTAAATTTGAGCTTTGAAACAATAGATCAGCTCGCGAAACATTTATCTCCGTTAGATTCTCTTTAAACGCTTAATTAGACTAGTCCGAAGTTCTTTTTCCAGGAAATACCGCCAATTGAGAAAGAATTAATGTGTGGTGATACTGGCTTAGGAGGTATGGCAACCGTCCAGATGATAGCATCAATTGTCGCTAGCGAAGTGAAGAATCGTTTCGCTATTTACTCCGATAATTCATCAGCATAAAATCTTGCTGTGTGTCTTTGTTCCTCTCTCTCTCTCTGCGTTTCATAATATACTGTTGTTCCATTACTGATTATGTAAATGAATTTGACTCATTTTGTAGTGTACAAAAGATTCGGAACTATTCTCTTTTATACTTTGCTGTCAACAGCAGATCAACTGCGTTGAAATAGTTTGTGACCGATTCCATCGGTCTATTTCTAGAAAATTGTGCTCTTTTTTCTGACATATGATCGTTTCCACCGGAGAAAGACATAACAAGGAATGGTTGAAGCACCTTTATTTTTACTATTAGAATCTTTTGCTGTTGAGAATTTGTGAAAGAAAGAAATTATGCAAAAAGGTTTGAGATCAATTCCATATGACCATATTTCAATTTCAAGTAGAAAATTTGTTGAGATTGCTTTCTTTATTTTCCTTCTCTTCTAGAGTATTTCAGAATTTTTCTTCATTAGGTTTTTTTTTAACTTTCAGTCCAGAATTTTCACCTCTTGAGCTTTCCAAGAGATATGGGATTCTGTCTTCCTAATAACTTTGGATGATTATATTCCTTGCTATCTTTTTGACCTAAGAAAATTAACGAAAGATTCGGCCTGGATTTTTGACTTTTTAGTCTTCTTTTTTTTTCTTCTTTAGTATAAAGATTGTGAACCACATCATTGTTTTGCACATATCATTTGCACATATCAATTTACATATTAATATTTGAAGCCTTATGGAGAACAACCGCTTAATCTAGAAAGCAAAAAAAAAAAACAAGGCAGTGAATAATTTAATTTTGTGAAATATTAATTATAACGTTGAAATCGAATAATTCATTTGGAAATCATGCCTATCTAAGGTCGAGAGTGTTTGACATTATTCTGATTGCATTTATTGTTTTTTTCCGGAGAAAAATTTTAGAAAGTTGTGGGGAAAATCCGCATAATTGGTGTGTGAGAGTTATTTCTGGCCGAAATTTTTGCATTTTAATTCGGTGAAATGTGGATATTTGGTTACGGTTCATTGCTTTGGTATACAGATTTTCCATATCAAAGTGTCATTCCTGGTATTGTACGAGGTTATTCACGTCGATTTTGGCAACTTAGTCCTGATCATAGAGGGACAACGAGCAGTGTTGGTTCTTTTTACACGACATGTGAGTAAAGAGATAGTATCACACTGTGTTGCTGTGACATCAAAGATACATGCTGATGTCCTAATGATGATAATTGAAACAATAGGATCTCATTCGTTCATTTCATCCTTTTTTTTTAATAGATAGGATTGTTTTAAAATGAGATGATAGTTTTTTTTCTTAAAAACTTTCTCAAGTTTTTTCTCTTGCAATGTTTCTTTCTTTTTTTTTTATAATAAAGTAAAGAAATATTTAAATATTTTGCAGCCTGGTCGTACAGTAACATTGGTAGAAGATGCAAATGGTTCTTGCTGGGGTTTAGCTTATGAAGTTGCTGAGGAGCAAGCATCGAATACAATCAAATATTTGGATGTACGAGAGAAGGCTGGCTATTTGGTGAATTTATCATTCAGTGAAATTAAATTTCTTAAAAATTAAAAACTTTTATTTTTGTTCGTTATTTGCAAAGCTTTATATGTTGACTTTTTTTGATTGAAGAATTGACAAATATACTTTTTCATTTATCCATTAATTAATTCTATGTTCATTAATTAATCCTTATCATTTTCAGAGAAAGGAAGTGATGTTTTATCCGGACAATGGTAGTTCATTTTTTCCAATAAATGTTTATTTAGCTGCTGAAAATGGGAATCCCTACTTCACAGGTCCTACTGATGAGAAAAGCATTGTGCATACCGTAAGTCATTTCGTGCTTTTCTCAAAAATTCTCTTATATGATTTGTACAAATAGTAAAATATTGCAAATTTTCAAATAAATTAGGAATCACAATAAGAAATCATGAAAATGACAATAAAATGAGATTTCATTTTTTCTTTTTCTTTCCAACTTTAATATGTTTTTTATTTTTCTCTCTTAATACATCACGTTCATTTAGGCAATTTTTACTAGCGTCTAAAATGAGTAATCAATAATTCACCGCATTCATTATTTTTTTTTTCTAGAACTTGAAAACACTTTTAAGATACTTAGAGCCCGTGGAATAAGTGGAACGAATATTGAATATGTCTTACGATTAGCAGAATGCGTTCATAGAATGGCACCACATATTAACGATGAACATCTGTTTGCGATTGAAAGAGAAGTGGTGGATGGATGTCATCAGTTAAACATTCAGGACGATTATCTAGCTAAATATCTGAATCAAAAACGAACAATTGAATCGCTTACAAAAAAACCATAAGCTGAATGTACTGGAAAAATTGCAGTAGTTCAATCCTATAGATTTTTTTTGTACTTTGAGAAAATCAAATATATTTGCGAATTTTTTTATCAACTGGTTGGTATTAAAATCTTTTAAGTTGGAATTTTACTTTAAAAAGGATTTTTTGATTTCCAAAGATCTTTTTTTGATTTCTTCCAAAAATTTGATTTTTTACGGGAATATATAGAGAGAGAGAAATAATTGCAATAGATATTATTGTTATTCAGACTTGTGATACCATTTTTGTTTAAGAATATTTCTTAATTACTATTGATTACATTTGTTCCACGTTGAAATTATAATTGTAATTGCATGCAACAATTAATCTTAATTATCTCCTGAATGATTCAATGTAATTGTAATATTCGTATGATATGAACAAATACTATGTACTTGTAGCAAAACAATTAACTTTAACGAAAGAATACATCAGTATCGATTTTTAATAATTCAAAATTTAATCAAACAACGAATTGACTAGGAAATACATCTACTCGTCAATTCTTTAAAAATTTAAAAAAATGGAAATAACAAATTTCTTAATTATTCTATCATTCTATTATTATAATCATACTTTAAAATATTTACCAAATTATTTGCTACATTTTTTTTTGCCGTATTTTCTCTTCCATACAACTTAACAACTTATCCCATTTTTTTCCGATTTTCTCACTCTTAATTGAAAAATTTATCATCATTTTATTATCAATATCATATCACAAATAACCTTCTAATCATTGTAACATTTTCTAATGAAATAATACTTCGATGCATTGGGAACTCTTTCATGTTTGTTTAGTTTCAATTCTTTCATGTTTATTTAATTTTAATATTTCGATGCATTGGGAACTCTTTCATGTTTGTTTAGTTTAAATTCTTTCATGTTTATTTAATTTTAGAAATTTAGAAATATCTTTAAAATCTTGGAAGAGATATATATGCTGATAAATTTTTGAATGAATTTTTTAATGCTTCATGTCTAATTAGCAATTTTTTTTTTTTATTAAGCCTTCGGAAGTTTAATGAAAAAATAACTTTGCATGTTTTTATAGCTCTATTAAGGTTTTTCATTAATTTTAATTGAACTTATATCTCATCACGAAAGATCAGTTTTTTCTGTGAATATTTCTGTCAAATGAATTTCTTTCTCATTTCCTAATGTTAACCGTATATATATGTCCAGTCCCGGAGCATTTCCTGAAAACCGGAATAGGTTATTATATTTTAACTACAAAATGTCATTTTTATGTCAATCTAATCGATCAAATATAAGTTTTAAATGTTTTCATATTCTTACTCTAAAGTTTTTGCAATATTCAATCTATTATGTCATAATACGATAGATTATTAACACATGTTCATTTTCTTTATAGTTTGTAAGATCATTTATTAGTATGTATTCGTAAGGTTATCATGCTATTACTTACTTATATGATAATTGTGATAACGAAAGGATAAAGGATGAAAAAAAAAATGTCTAAATGAATGTTAGTTAAAATATTATGCTAATTATGTTAATTAATAGTACTTGAAAATTTTCATTAATTCTTATAATCTCTTCCATAAAGACTATTATCATTCGTGTTTTTTTTTAAAAAGTTTGTTTTTTTTAAAAGTTTTTTTTTTTCTAAAGTATGTCCTATCATTATTAGCAAAACTTTGTCATCAATAAAAACAAAAAAAAGAAAAAAAAACAACGAGAAATCAACTTCATCTTGAAAACAATGTTGACTTAAAATTAATGAATATTACTAAATTATTATCAATTCCATACAAAACAAAACAATTAATTGATAATTTAATATACTTTAATGATAATATCTTATGAAAATATCAGTCCTTTATGCAATCAACAAAACAACTATTATCTCTTTTTTTTTTTTATATTTTCATTAATAAAATATTCATCGTCAATTGATGATCAATTGTTGATATTGGAAAATAAGCGAAAATTTCAAATCAAACTTATTAATGTTACAAATTAAAGAAAGAACTCGATTGCAATTAGATTTCCAATTTTAATTTGAAAAAAAAAATTACCTAAAATTGGTTAAATTATTGATAATAGAAGTTAACAATTATAGTTAACAGTAAGACATAATATTTTACAAAGTATAACGCAAAAAGCCTTATCCATGAATAATAAAATAATTTTTTTTTTTTATAGAAATTCGAAAAATTTTCTTTATCAAAGGTTAAGTAAAATAAAGTGATGAGGGATGAAACTTATCAATCTTATCAAATATATGATTGATGAATAAGAATTATCAGAAAAGATAGCAATTCTAATCGTTTTATAATTTCAATTATTTAAGCGTTTAAAATGATGTTTAATTCATTGTGATATTTGAAATGTTTCGTTAGGGGAGAATGAAAAAAAGTTTTTTTTTCCTTTTCCTCTTTTTCTCTAATGTGAAGTTTGTGTTAGCACCATTAGCATTTTTTGATGATACAATATGTGATATCATCACGTGAAATTTCATATTTAAGTAACATTATTCCAAATTTACATTTATGCAAATAATTTGGACGAAAGCATTGTCAATTACATTTCATTAGATAAATTTGACCAGTAAATGATTGAGTAGTTCTGATAATATATATATATATATATAAAATCTGACCAGTAATGGATTCCTGATAATACCATCGTACGGTTAAAGAAAACAATTAAATTATAAACGGATCAGGAATATGTAATAGGAAATTGACCAATGGTCGAGTAATAAAAAATGATTATGTAATTGATTACGTAATTGTATTACGAAAAATTTTCTTTATCAAAGGTTTTTTTTATGTAATTGTATTTATGATTATGTAATTATATTTTACCTATTCATGTCACTATCATATTGTTCTCGTAAACTTCATTTTTAATCATTTAATCAACCTCCTTTTTTTTGCAAACAAAACAAAGTGATATCAAAATAAAAAAAAAATTAATAATCCTTTAAACTTTTGAATTTTCTTGCAATTTTATAGTCATATTCAGATATTCCGAAACATGGTTCAACGAATCGATGACATGGATTGTATTCTTTGCCAGTTTTCCAGTCAAATGATAATCTGCTTCGAGGATATTCCGATCGATACTGCAGAAATTAGAATGATTAATTAATCCGTACAACGGATGATCATTTTCATGCACTATGATCACCGCGAATATCAATTACTTGGAAATCTCAGTACCCATCATATCATCAGTTAGTACATTTTTAACTTTATAATTTCCTCACATTTTTAATCTGACATAAATTAAACTTTAGGAAATATGCTCATTATTACTTAGCTTATTATCATTGTTACGTTATTCAGGAAGATATCATATTGTTTAAAATTTCCAGCAAAAAAATTTTAGTAAATTTTACAGTTCCTACAGTAAAATTCTACAAATTGAAAAAAAAAAAAGAAAACTCACATAAATACATTCCAAAGTATATTGATCACAGAGATCTTTGTTAAGCATTGTTTTAAAAAAGCGATATTTGGCAGGTGGATAGGAAACTTTAAATTTGTTTGATCCATGTAACATAAAGATATCTTGCTTCAACGATTTTCTCTTAGATTTTTTAATATCAAATTCTTCATATTTAATATCTTCGTGATTATTTTCATCATAACGCGTGTTATTACTTTGATATTTTGAGATATTGTCACCAAATCGTTCATCAATTATCACATGCTTATTATCACCTTCAGTATTTCGGATAATAATCGATATACTCACTAGCACAATCAATAAAAACATCACAACCATTCGTACGGAATACATTTCGAATAAATAAAATCTCACCTGAATAATTGTACCATTTTGTATTTAATAGATTTCAACTATATTCTACAATATGTAACTCCAAATTGCAATACAAAAGCATAGATTATCCAAGTAAACATACCAATTCTCATCATCCTAAATAATATAGATGATTCGTTTGTTTTGATATTTTTTATTCAAGTATATTTATAATCACATTCTTGCATAATATTTCAAGTGGAATCGAAATTTATTGATTATTCAAAATGTTATGTTAGCTAAAAGTTTTCCTTTCTTCTCCTCCCGGAAGACATATGCACAACTAGGAAATCATGATTTATAATTATTTTTGAAATATATGCAAGTTATATGTGAATTTAAAAAGGGATTATAAGATGAGGGTAAGCATACGCTTGTTTTCATCTATTATTATCACAGAATTTTGAAATTTCCGATTTTCCTTTGAAAAATTTATAAATAAACCTTATCGATTAATCCCTACCATTTAAGTATGATGTTCTTTATGCAAATTGGTATTTTGTCACGAAATTACACAATAATTATTTGCATAAAAATAAAGGAATGAAAAAATCATAGAACAGGTGGTCAGGATTTATTTTACATGTAGCAAATTGCAAAAGATTTGAATAATAACAACTTCTTGTTTTTGCAGGAAAAAAAAAATATAGGAACTGTCGGGAAGATCATAAATTCCTAATGTTAAAATATATAGAAATAATTAAAGTATTTTTGTACCATAGATATATTCCATAATAATTGCTTACTGGAATATTCCCCAATCAAAATTCAATAATTCATCTTCTATTTATCATATATAAAAATTCAGTTATCCAATCAATCATCACAGCAGTCACCGATCATTCTATTCTTCTCTAAAGAATCTCACAATCTACCAATCTGCAATTCAATCCAGTGATCAACAATCAACATATATTCCCTATTTTCGGAATAATTGTCTGTTAAATAAAACGAAATAAATAATCCGTCTATTAATTCTACCATAACTATTCATCTATATCAACCAAAGAATGCAAAAGTTTCACAACGGGAACAGAGTTGTGGGAAAAATGAGAATTAGATCAAAAAATCAATAAAACATTTGACGCCCTATTTCTAATTCAACCCTGATTTCTTGAAATTAGAATGTAACTTTCAAAAAATTTTTAAATAGGATCAATTTCTCAATTTCCAATTATTGCAGGATAGGAGATTGAGTGATTAAATGCGAACGGTAACAGTTCAGTTTTTTGAATTTCTTAAATTTATTTACACCTTGAAATATTCAATTAGTAAACAGCTTGACAAATGAAAACTCGAATCTGTTCTATTGAATGGGGTACATGCGTATTGTGATAGCCATTGATTTCAATTTTTAATCTATTACGTTTCAAGCATCACTTCATTCCATAACTTTCCAATTTAATAAATTATTTTCTTCAGTTGTTTTATTCATTCGTCTCGGAAAGCCTTATTAAGAAACAAGTCTTTAGGTTTAAACATACTATATTGTTTGTAAAGCTATTTACTCAATACGTTTTACGGTTTATTATCAACATTACTCCACTGCTGAGCATAGCTGTAAGTCGTAATGGTAAACTACTGAAATGCTAAAAGAATTCAAAAATATCTCAAACTGTACATTCTTTTAGGACCAATCATGTACTAAAATTTGTAAAATATCCAATTTCACACTATTCTACAAATTTAAGAAAAAAGTAATGAAACTATTCTGGAATGATGAGCAAATAAATCTCGGGAAGTTGAAGAATATGAGCGCACTTGCTGTCCTACAGCAACCTGTTTGATATGCATCTTTATTTGATGAGCGGAATGATCAAGCACAAAGCTATCAATCGAGCTTCCTTGGATTTCGGGCTGCAAAAAGAAAGAAAAAATATTTCGGAACAAATTAGCATAGCGAAACTGCATAAAAAAGAAGCTCAAAAGCTAAATACCAATGAATATAAGAATAAACCTGTCCAGATAGAATAAAATACTAGCACAGAAAATCTTGAAAGGGAATCTCAGGAATACCTGGTTTTTTTTCTCAACTAACAACAATAATTTCCTCAACTAACAACAATGAATCCTCCAAAATTTAGAAATTTTAAGGTACAAAACGACAGATGATCTTTACCAGAAACGTGACAAACATGAGCGGTTATATTTTGATTTTGAAAAAAATTCAACCATAAACGTTGCTTGGTCGATAACTTATCACCAGGACCTTTCACTTCTACTACCTGTAATAAGTTTTGAAATTCTGAAAAGGGAAATAAGACCTAGAATACTTCCTTTCTCATATTTAATATATTGCAGTAAAAGAAATGAGTTTATTTCAAATGAGTATATTTCAAAAGTGTAAACACGAGGATATTTGATTAATAAATTCCGTTTTTTGAAAAAAAATTGTAGTTGTGATGAAATTTTCAAAATTAACAGTACACATACTGCCAGAAGTTTCTTTTCATCATTCCAAACAGTTAAATCAGGAAATCCACTTCGACAATTTCGATAATCAGTAATGAGACGACGAAAGATTGCGCAAACGGCAGCTATCGGACAACAGATCATAAAGCGCTAAAAAATATGCGTCATCATCTTCTCTTAAAGGTGCCAACTATTGTTAGATAAAAAGCAATAGAGTTCAAGGTATTGATCTTAATTCTATTCTAGCATGACTTACTATGTGCGCAGCCTTTTTTATTCTCTACATTACAAAATACAAATAGATACGACTTGGAGAAAGAACCGCATCACTTTAATATCAGCAAGAAACTTTTTGTGAATGTTTAGGACATTCGTTTAAATTTCAATTCAAATCGACTAAATTAAACAGCGGAAGAATAAATCATGAAAGTCCCTCAAACAGGACATGACTAATTAAAAGACAAAAATGACTAACTTTGACTTGTTCAAAATCAATGAAACAATTCCATGTTATCTCTGAATTGGTTACCCCATAATAATTATTGTATGTTCTCTCCATTTCCAACAGTAAATCATCAAAATCTGCTTCTTCGATTTCTTTGAAACGTAACTCGAAAAGATCCTGACGACTGGTGTAGAAGGTTCGGCTGTTCAAGTCTGCTGGATTCATCTACGAGTAAGTTGAACAGTGGCAAAATTTTTATACATAATTCTTATTTTCTAAGTTGAATTTTGTCGTTCAATGAATATAGGGGTCTCCAATTTTGTTAATGGTAGCTTTTTGCTTGTCAAGCATTTAGCTTTGCTGCAGTAAAAAACATTTTTCTGCTACAGCGTACGAATTCCAGTAAGAGGTATCCCAAGCTTCAGCAATTCCCGATTAAAACTGAAAGTAGTTCGAAATATAGAACAAAAAATCGAGACAACATTGAAAAAAATTCCATATACCTGTGTTTCGCTGAACCATACATTTTCAACAGCTGGATCGAAAATAACGTCATAAAATAAAAGTCCAAATATAGTGTGCCAAAGTGCACCTTCTGCGTGCACTCCTACATAAAACACGATACGACAGTGACATCAATTCATAAAGATACGTTAGAAATGGCAAATAAAACGAAAGCCACCTATTTATTTGTCCATGAGCTTATAGTTAACCGATTCTTTCCATATTTAAGCTCATTTCCATTCACTCTTCACTAACAACGCTATGAACTACATTTGAGTTAGTTACGTCTGAAGTCGTCCTTCTAATGAAATGGACTAATTTCATCTTCCGTATAATTTTGAAATGTTTAGGTGTATATACAACTATTACGCTTAGTTGTTACCTAATTTTTAACGTACATACCATTGCATAGTACAGACTTACTGTTATATAAATTAACAGAAATAACCGCAAACCTTCTTTAAAACTTTCTTTTCTCAAATAATGATCCAACGCCACCTCTTCAACGCTGCATTCGCATGATATTCCATTTCTGCAACAGGACTCAAATATATGCAAATATGAGCTTCAAAAATTAATGGAACATTAAACTTTCAACTAATTTAAAACGAAAATAGAAACAGACTTCTCAATAAGGAATCTGTTAATTCGTGCTTCGCCAAGATTTTTACCCAATACAGAGCCTTTTATACTGATCTTTTCGGGATCCATTTCTTCCAAAGGTCCTTTCCATCCTGAACAAAGTTTACGGCCTCTATCCTGCAATAAAAACAAACCTAGTCTTCCGAAAGTTTTCTAAAACCAATAAAACAGCCGACAAAAACCGCAAATTTAAAGAAGGCAAGAAACGCGAGATACTTAATAACTGTATGGGCAATAAATCGAAATGTGAGCCTCAGAAAAATGAACAAACTTGCAGCGACAAACGATCTTTGTCACCTAAAACAGGATCCTCCAGACCAGCAATAACAGCTTTCATTGCTCTATCCTTATCTTTCAGATGTGCGTCTAAATTTAGTGCTAGTCGATCCCACCATCCACCTCGAGCATTAGCAAGAATAAGTTTAAATTCTAAAAAAACAAAAAAGATTGTCGTTGTGTAGGAAAATTCAGGTAAAAAAAAAATGATTTCTTGCAGTCCATCTCTTGCATTCAGGTAAAAAATGATTTATTGCAGTCCATCTAAAAACAAAAAAAGAAAAATTGGAAAATATGAGAAAACTAAAAAAAAACACCTATTGTCAGCTAAACCTGGATTTTCAAAATATCGCCGTTATATTTATGAAAACCCCTATTCATAACTATGGTTAGGTTAAATGTATCCCTGATCTAAGCGTTCTCTGAGAACAATAATACAGGAAGAAATAGGCTTGATGTTAAAATAGTGGCAGATTTTCTCTTTTTTTCTCGCAATTTGAAATACTAGACAGCACATAGGCAGTCGATTACTGAAGAAATGAAGTATGCAGAAGTTAAAAGATCAAAAATAAATTTGAACTAATAATACTTGAACGAAACGAAACAGTGATATTAACGTACCTATGGCATGCAACATATATTCCAACCACGCAACAGCTTCCGCATAATCTCTGATCCTTTCCAATGCTTCAACACCATGAGATATACACCTGGATGGCAGGAAGAAATGAACAAAAAATGATATGAACTATAATTTGCAAAAGCAAGAAATGTTAACAAAATAATAGATTGCAGATTTTTCAACAGAAAAATAATTGCAAATGAATGTGTAAAACCCCACTAAAAGGAATGAAAGATAAACCTCGCATATACATGAAGATCAGTGAATCGTCGAAGATCACCAACCAAAGACTCATAGAATTGTCTGTAATAGGCACGAGAAAGATCTCAGTTATTTGACAACCTAATTTTCAAATTAACAGGACGGATGTAATTTTGTAGGTTTCGCAGAATATAAATATATTAATAATCAATCTTTTAATTAGTTAAAAATGAATTGACTAACTCGTATGTGCCAAATGAATTAAATGATCTGACAGCTGGCATTATGAATCTCTTTGAAAGATCATGCTTATTCGCAGCTTTTAAAACCATTGCTGAATGCACATATCACTTCACCAGCAGAATAATAAAAAGTTCCAATGACCTACTACTACAGTAAATGAATAAATAAACTATTTGCGAATACTGTTTACCGTCGTACTGCATATGCATCTTGAAATTCGATGCGGGCTTTCTTAGCGCATTCAATTATTTCAGTCCACCTTCCACGTTGCGTCAGATCAGCCACTTTAGTTTCCAATCCTTTTGCTTTGATATACCTGAAACATAAATTGCTTTCAAATTTAAAATTATCGCCCAGAATTGAAAATTTTCATTAAGCAGAATAAATAAATATCCTGTACTACCTGAAAAGTTTTTCGGCGTCCGTATAAATATTTATCAGGCAAGGATTATAAGGAGCAGGAAAACGAAGTTTATCTGTATCAAGTTGCAGCAAAACGAACCTGAAAATCAAAATAATAACAGTGCTGATTATAAAGCTTGGTCATGCACTTGGAAATGACTCAGTAACAAGAAGACATTCTTTAATTCTTTAAATAATAGAGAAAATCAAACTTACAGTAATTGCGAGGGCAAATTAATAGAAGGCTGATCAAAAAGTAACGCGGAATTCATATCCATCGGTGAGTAAATTGTAAAAATCGCACAGAAAATGTTCACGATCTCTTTGCGTATGCGAAAACATGGACCGAGTTCTTCTTTAATTCTATAACTTTTTGACTTTTAACCAAAACAAAAAATTTAAAAACTGATAAATTCCAAGGTCGTAAAAAAGGATCGAAAAAATAGCAATAACCAAATGTCGAGCAATTGAAAAATTTTAATAAACCTTAATACTTGTTAATTCCCTGCTAAATGTATCAATCCTTCCTTATCTATGCTTTCCCACTCAAGTAATTTCATTGCAGGAACTACAGTCGAATCAAGATCCAATTTTAAGGTCACCTACTTATGCAGTACTCGCTTCTCCATAGTGATTCCGAAAACATTTTTTTGTGTAGCAAATTTCAACAGGGAACGACAAATTTCAATTTTGCCTTTGTTGAAATCTAATTTGAAATGTTTTGCAACAGATTTTAACGATGAAACATGTAAGAGATGTACGGCTTCTTCAATTTCAAGCAATGATGAATGACCTGAAACATGGTTTTGAATAATATAATATCTTTGCGGTGCAATAGCAATCGAGAGATGAGAAATACTGAATGAAAAACACTCTTGTAATCTCAATATTCTCACAGATATGTTTTTCGACAAAAGTTATGGATGCTTCAAGAGGTATAGGATGAAACTAAAAAAAAACTTTTCGACGAAAAACGATCAAACTACTTTCAAACATTGAAATTTACTAACTTGAATCAACGAGTTCAGCTTCCAATAATTCATTAAATAATGGATTCAGTGACGAAGAAATACTGGTGTATCTAAAAATAAATAGTTTTTATACTTACTTTCCTTTAGTTATGAAAAGTGTGGGACAAATCGAAAAAGCAACAAAATATGGAAAAGTAAATTAACTCACGAGAGTTTGTCTGCTATTAACCACTTTCTCTTGCGAAGAAACAATCGAATTAATAATTGCTTACTCTCATCTAAAAAAACAGAGTTACTCTGGAACTTCGTAATCGATAAACTTAGAGAATGAAAAAGAGAAAAGAGAATTCACATATACTTCAACTGGTAAAAAATTACCTGATAGCGCAATAAATTTTTCTAGCAAATGCAAATGTTCGCCCCAGAACTGTACTTCACCATATTGACCTCCATTACAAAAAACCTACAAAGATTTTACTCGTAAAATTAAAGTGGAAATAATCAAGTATTTTCTTTTTTTTCGCAAAT